ATTGCTTATTTGACCCCCTGTTTTCATCATTAAACTCATTTAAAACTCTAAATGACCTCAAAATTGTCAATGCAATGCATTGACCCTAGAAATATGCGTGGTGCTGTATGAATTGCATCTCTTCACCCATTACATTTTCCTCAAACCTGAATAACGTGACTTACAGCTGAGCACATGAGTGATTTACTGTAGACAGAGTCACTGCCTTACATTAACACGAGGATTATTAAGGAGGAAAAACCTCCGGTTGTGTAGAAAATTATACACGACTTCCTTCCCTTCTCTCCTTGAGGGTGACTATTTCAAAGCAGAAAGACAAGTGCTGTATATCTGATCAAAGTCAAGGGGAGAGAGAGGCTTAATCCCTCCTCAAGTAGCATTAGATTGCTGATGCCGGGGATGTAAATGAGCTAAGCTAAAGCAGTCCTAATCCTTACACCATCTTATTTTTTTTTCTTGACACCATTTTTTTTCTTTGTTTTTAAATCCGGACCATGCTCTGTTGATTTGCTAAGGAACACACTGCCCAGCATTTAGTGCCTGTGTTTTGCCACTCAACTTTATTTACAAAATCTGTACCCTAGATTTCACTGTTCAACACTGCGGAACAAGTGAAAGCTGTAGGGTATATTTGACTGAAGCGATTGAAAATATTACAGCTGCAAAGCATTTTTGAGCCCCAGGCCCATAGGTTTGCGTCTCATGATGTACAATATCATGCATGGATGCTTCTCACAGAAGCAGCGCAGTCATCTCTTGCTTTCTCCGTATGTTTGGGAATTTCTTCAAAGCATCTTGCTGATATTTTTTGTGCAATTTGTCTGCACCTGTAGACATTATTAAGTTACAAGTGAGGCAATTTTTTTCATAAATGTGGCTGTGGACCTCTTTATTAAACCTCTAGTGAGCCTTATCTTGAAATATCGCACAATAAGCTACAGCACACAAACCAAAGATTGATTTGCATTTTCGTTTTAGTTTGCTAGAAAAAAAATGTTTAATGTCGCTTGCAGTCAGTAAACAGACGTCCCTTGCATGTTTACTTTTAGTCACTCTGGCAATGTTTTGTCCTACATATTTTTCTGTTGAAACCATTAGTGAAAATTGTACTCGCTGTGCCAACGTGCCTCAGGACTGAACTTCCTCTCCTCTTACCTACAGCGTTGTTTCTGCTGAATTTTGATACTTAAATTTGCAAACAGTGCATCATTCCACAACGCCTCAAACATGATCTGATGCCCCACATGCTCTCAGTATGTTTGAAACACATTTGTTTCACTGCAAATTATATCAAAATGTGCACAGTTTTGTCTTGAGCAACAAAGGAAAGTTTAAATATTTTTAATTTTATTTTAGGGATAATTGGTAAAATTAATAAGTTCTTTTGACTTGCAAATTGTACTTTTACAGTTGTTTGAATGAAATGAATATTACCTAAACACACCCAGCTTGTGACAAAAATGTATTTGTTGGTCCTTTTCTCTTGGCAGTAGCTACAAACATTTCCTGTGCATCAAAGTTTTTAAGAATAATATATTTTTTAATCAGATATAGTGATAATTAATGTCAGTTTCATAATATAATAATGTATACAGAATATAGCATAAATAAATCCAAGCTATTTTAGGGTTTCTTTCAGTTAATTTATGGACGGTTTATGGAGTTTTGAATAATGAAGTGATTAACGTTTGTGTAGAGAAAACGTACTTGAAAAGTAATGAAAACAGAACAAAGAAAAATAATCTGTGAGAAACAAAACTGGCAAAATTATTATTATTTTTTTGATGGTAATGTGTCCTTTAAACTACAAATTTGTGAGTAAAATTTGTGACTGGAAGCCAACCAACAAATGCTTTTTATTACCTATTAAAATAACTTAAATTAGGTCAAATGGTGAACTCAGCAGCCATATTTGTTTACCTACACAGACTATGGCCAGCTTAATGCATAGGTGAATCATAAGACTCAAGATTCCTCATGGCTTTCAGCAGATTCAACAAAGTGCTGTGTTCAAATTAAGTGTACTTGCATTTTCAAATTGCATATCAATATAATTTGATAACTACTGTAGTAAATGGTTTCAGACCACACAACTTGGTCCAGTATAACCTTTTTTCAGAGTCCAAATTTCATGGATATACAGTACTTGTTTTTATTTCATATCAGACCAAACTTTAACTGAAAGCAGACCAGTTTAAATCAGGTACATTAGGGTGGTTTGAATGAATGGTAACTTGGAGAAGGGACATAATTTACCTTACCATAACAGACATACTTGTGATTTTAATTTGCATTGTAATCTCCCAGACTCAATTCTATTGTGTCTTTACACCTACCGTAAATGTTGTTGCAGAACTATCCTTTCATTTCTTGTTCAGACTGTTTTGAAATGTCCTGCGAGATGCTCAGTAAGCATCATGTTGCTGGCCCGACACCAGCAGACTGTTAAAGCACTGTTCTGTTTCTATTTCTTTACAAAAATTTAATAAAACTTTAACAGACAGCTTCTTGTTCATAGTAGCTGTTTTTTTAATCAGACTTGCATATTAACATCTGCTTGATTTTTTAAACGGGCAGCCTAAAACAAGCATTTATAGATCAGAACATTCATGATAGGTGAGCCCTTTGTGCAGCCTATTAGACATGCTTTGCGAGAGAAGGATACAACAATACAGCATTTGATGAAAGTCAAAAGTTTTAAATCTTCTCAGATTTCCTTTTGAAAGTAACTGTATTTCACTGTCAAACAAATAAAGAAAGGTTAAACTTTACCCTAAGAGTTTTCACTTGGTAGTACTAAAGACATGAGTTTTTCTTGGACAACAATACATAAATAAATAAATAAATAAATAAATAAATAAATAAAAAAAAATAAACACTGAGTTAATTTTGAGACATAGTTTGGCAGTAAAATACTAACCAGTTTAATTTAGAAACAATGAGGGAGCCTCTACCCAATGGCAACATTGTATTTGTTGATATCATGCAACAAAGTACAAACTTTTTTTCATTGATAATGAGTATGGGGGTTAAACAACTGTTTAAAGAGTGTATTATAATGAAAAAAACATAAATTATTTGATTTCAGTTTAGTGTCAATGTCCTAAATCTAAATTGTGATGTTTAAATGTGATTGGAATACTCTTTATGCCTCTTCCACACTTAAAAATGCCAGAATGTAGATGGTCTTTGCTGGGTTTTGCAAAGTTTTCAACTGCATATTAATAAGGCAGTGGAATCATCATTGCATGCGATAGGTCCACAATGGATTCAAGCATGCACAAAATGGTTGCAACATTATGTTGATTCAATAACATGGTGGCAGATTATTGGGGCCCTGAGGGGAGCATGTGCAAGGATGTGATGGTAGAGTATCCATGATGTGGTGCCTGCTCGCGCCAGCATCGTTGTCAAGATTTCATGCCGGGCTGGTTACATTAGCTTGATGCTGAGGCTGGGATGCACTCTTTTAAAGTTTTAGGGATTTAGCTATGTTCTAATTGGTTGTAAAGAGAGTAGAACAGACTTACCATCCAGTGAGCAGAGCAATAACCACAGAAGAATGACAATCTCCACTCATGACATCACACATACAGTATAATTTACATAAATTATCTGTCGCTCTCTCAAATGATTGATGACTGTTCTCAGCTAATAAACATATCCAAATATTTAAAGCACTTTGGTGTGTGTCTATGCATCTTTTTTGGTGTAAATGTTTCATGGAAGACAGTATTATTTATTTATTGCAGCAAATTGTTTCTCTGGCTACTTTGGTGGCTGCAATTCTGCCAGCATTTAACAAATGATTCTATTCTAACATTGTCCTTGATCTAGTTTTAAAAGTGAAAGTCTGTGTCCTTCATACAAATCCTACATGTGTCACAGTCATTAGGTGTAACACAGTATCAATTTCTCTTCTCTGCCTTCCCTGTAAGAACGTTGATCACTTCTCCGGCTCCAGCTAATGTGTCAAATGACACAAACCGAACCAACTAGCGGCCAAGCTTTTCTATTCCCTCCCAGTTTTCTCTCATTTTTTTTCATCTTTTTTTCAGATCCATCCACCCACTTCCTGGTTTCTTGACCAGTCATTTAATGCAGCATAAGGGAATAGTTCAGGACTGGCATCTCTGACAGCCCTGAGTGGAGCACTGAGCCATCAAAGGTTTTGGCTGGCACAGCCGAGTGTCACGTATTAGTCTTAAATGATGTGAAAACTGTGAAAGCCCTGCCATCATTAGGATTCTTCGGAGAGTGGGAAAAATTGAATACAGGGATAGATAGGAGAGTGGCGACTTATAGTAGAAAGAGTAGGAAGAAAGTGAAAGGCAGTCTGGAGTAAAATAGAGCAAGCCACTGTTAAGGTAGAGTGCAATGAAATTCAGCTGACTTGCCATGCCACATTGAATTTTATTTATTTATTTGTTTATTTTTTTGCGTGTAAAGGATTTTAAGCTGTTTATCACAATTTGTTCGTTGCTTGAAACCTGATGAAGCTTTAAAGAAACCGAATCAATGACACAGAGCGGCAAATATACTCAGACCTTTCTCACCTCTGATTGACTGGATTGTAGACAACTGACAGAGTTGGCATACAATGAATCGGTTAATCAACTTGTTAATTGATAGTTTCTTTTGTGAATCAGCACTTGTCAGTTTGCTCGATGATTCGTGCCAATGGAAACACTTTCAGATTTTGTCTTATTAGACAGATGTACATTTGTTCTCGAACTCGATGCTTCATGTTGACAGCCTATTACTGTGTGAAAAACAAAACAAAGATTTTTTTTTTGGTTTAAGTGGCTTTTGTTTCTGTCTGTACACCTTCCTGGATTTTTTTGCTCTGCATTTATCTGAGCAGACAGCTGCAGATGTTTTATGCCTGTAGGCTCTCCCCCTCCCCCATCATTCAAGTAAAAGGCTGACATGACCCAGAGTACGTGTCTGTTCTTCCACACAATCTCTAAACGCTGATTTTCTCCTCTTGTGACTGACAGCGGAGGACACGTGCGGCGGCACCCTGAGGGGCTCCAGTGGGCTCATCTCCAGCTTCGATTTCCCGGGCGGAGACTCCCCTGGCACTGGCGGCGGTGGCGGCGCCGGGGGCCTGGGCAGCAGCGGGGAGTGTAAGTGGACCATACTGGCAGATCCGGGCGACACCATCTCTCTGGTGTTCACCGAGTTTCAGATGGAGGAGAAGTCAGATTATCTGGAAATTGAAGGATCTGAACCATCGACCATCTGGTGAGTCAATGCAGCATTTGAGCATTCATGTGTTATATTATGTGTCGATTAGTGCATGAGGTGTTGACATGGTGCTAACAGCTTGATTTGTGTGACCTGAGGTCTTTTGGGATGTGTATTCAAACGTTTTAGAAAATGTTTGCACAGTGAAATACTAGTGCAACTTATAAATTATACTATATATTGTGTTTGAAAACACAACTGGCTTGTATAAAAAAGGGGTAAAAATTAGTTCCACGTGATAATATTATTAATCATGGTTTAACTATTTGTATTGATAACGTTATAACAATGAATTATTCTATTTTCACAACCAGATGTGACATTTGTTGTACATGTGGGCTGTGCAGATTCTTGAATGTATCTGCAAACATCACGTCTTCACCTTTCACATTTTAGAATAGGTATTTCTGAAAAGTTTTGGACTGATCTACAAACAAACAAATATCAATTGGAGATTTCTTGTACTCAGTTAAACACCAGGGGTGTCCAATCCCTGACCTCAAGGCCCGCTATCTTGCACGTTTTACTTGTTGCCCTGCTCCAACACATCTGATTCGATGATTTAATGACCTCGTCAAGTTGTACAGAATCCTGTCAATCACCCGTTCATTCAAATCAGGTGTGCTGGAGCAGAAAGATCTCTAAAACATGCAAGATTGTGGCCCTCCAGGCTTAGACACCCCTGGTTTAATCATTCAACTCTTCAGTCTATTTAGCGACTAAGAAGGGGCTTTGTGACCTGGTGGTAGACCCTTGAAATGAAAATGTGTTTGGCTCACAGTTGAAATCCACCTGACCGAATTTCACCAACAATCTTTCAGACACACAGGACCATGGATTACCCATCCTAAAAGGCTGGTCGAGGCACTGAAAAGGTGTAAATGTGGCAGTCGATGAAACATATTCATAGAAGGTTAGGTTTGAAGGGATACTATTAAAGTTGATTGTAATTTATACCCACTAAACAGCACTCAGTGCTTATGAAATTTAGCCCAGTTTTACGAATAGTTACCCAAAAGTTTACTTTTTGGTAAATGTCTGTCAAGGTCTGTGGTCCCTTTTATTATGAAATTGGAATAAAATGAATGAAAATGGGTAATTAAACACAAGATCTTAGAAGGGGGTTTATTTTTTAAAATCCTGTTTCATGGTATACCTTAAATTTATAAAAATATTTTCTTAAAATTTGCAGTGTCCAACTACATAAGGCTGTATAGGCCAAACGTTTCCTTCTTAAATTGCAGTCTCAGGTCACACAAAAATAATTTTAAGGGCCACAAATTGCACAAGGGACACATTTTGTTGACCCCCTGATTCGGAAATACAAATCTTCTAAAGACCCATCCATGAAAATCATTGAACATTCTGAAAAATGTGAAATAAAACTGGTTTAATTAGAAATGTAATCCTTTATCCTTAAGTACAAATATTGTATATTTTTTTTTACTGTTTCTAGCGTTCAAGGCAAAGCATTCAAACTTATTTTTGTTGACTTAATTAACCCTGGCAGTGGAGTTATCGCTGAGTCGTGTCACATTGCCAGTTATCAGCTGAGTTTATCAACCCAGGTTTCAGATGATAGATCACACACGGAGATTTAGATCTGCTCAAACTGCTCTTATCTTCTCTATGAGAAAGACAATGTGAGAATAGACGACTGAAAGCTACACAGCTGCAGCAAGTAAAGTCAGACATTTTTTTCTGGGTGTTGCAAAATAGGATCACTGTCTCTAAGTATGAGAAGTTCAGACCAAATCTAGATTAGTGTGAGCTTATTTTGTCAAATCTGTGTGTTGCAGGTGGAATTGTATGGCATGAAGTGTTCATAACATGTTTTAGATGCAAATCTGGAAGTTTTAAAACTGTTTTATACAGCCCGTTAGGGCATATTTGGCACAAACCATGCTCTGAAGGGCTATATAAAAATTTTGTGCAATAGTTTATTTTAATTGTGATTTCTTATAATTTTGAAATGTTGAAAAACTGTACGTATAAGGAAATGAACATAGAATGTGCTGAGTTCATGCAAAACTAGTTAAAAATGGTGCCTATAACTTTTTAGTTAAGTACTTTGAATAAGGAAAAAGTAAACAGTTTGAATTATTTCTTCAGGTCAAAAAGCATAAAATCTGTTTGTTTATTGCCAGCATAAACCTTTAAGATGAATGCAGTCTAACCTTGGAATACTAGACAGGAGGGTCTTTCACTGACCACCCATCAAAGTCTTTTTTTTCCCATATATTTATTTGAATTTTCTGAAAGAATTGATTGGTTTGGCTGTTTTGCTTTCACACATGTTGATCTCTTGTCTGCAGCCTAACCTGCTCCAAAGCAAGCAATAAAAGATAGAGGTTGCAGGCATGTGCATGCATATTTAATGAATTTCCATGGATAGTTTTGAAGAAAACAAAACATGAAAAATTGCCTTTTGGGTTCTGCTCGTGCTAAATCAATTTATAGAAGTTCATTGTTGAATAATTCAGAACACACATGAGTCACGAATCCTTGACTTTTGTTTAGAAAACAGCCTTTAGACACACACATTTCTGGCTTTTCGAAATGGTTTAATGCACCTCCATCCAAATAGATTTAACTCCTCACCTTCAGGTTAAGCTTATCCGTTTTTTCCCTCTGCGTCCTGTGTAAATGGGATCATCTGTTTTGTGTATGTTATCCTGATTGCTGTTGATTATATTTCACCAAAAGGAGCTTTAATCAGTCAGAAAGGCGGGTGCTCTTGTCCCTGAGAGTTGTCATCCCGAGAGAGAGAGCTAGAGAGACAGGAAGTCAGAGTCAAAAGGAGGTGCTGCGAGTGTGGCAATGACTGCTAAGTATTGCATGTTGACATTGCTAAGAGGAGTGTGACAGAGAGTCCATGTGGGACAACATTGATGTGTTTTGACAGTCCATCAGGTAGCTCTTGTCATCGGTGTAGAAGCCCTAAAATCTAGCATTCGGATGCAGAAGTGCCTCTAGATTTGAACGCCTCAGACCAGAATTTTAAAAGAAATTCTTTAGCATGGCTGTTGTTTGTTACTCTCTGATGTGATTGTAAGACATTGTCAATGTTAACGAATTTGCTGGTGTGGGTTGAAACTTGGAATAATGGCCAAAATTGGTACTTGTGCATTTTTTTATTTTTGTTTAAAAAAACGAACAAAATGAAAACAAGCAGCTACACATTATTAGGCATTTCCCAAGAGTTTCTGAACAAAGCAGCTGAACTGATTTTCTTGTAATAAGCATTGCACTTGAGGACATGGATTACTGAGCAGTTGCTTTCTGAATCAACAGCAGCGAGTATTTCAAACTCGGCACAGACATCTAGTCTTCAGCAAATATTTAATGAGGATTTCAAAAAAATGCTGTTTAATATGAATGGTTATTATTTCTCCATTGTCACCTGCCGTCACAAAAGAAGGCAATAATTTAATAGCCTTTTTCTGTGTTTTCAAGTGTTTTCTTGTCTGTTAGCAAAACATCTTAATGAAACTGAACTGGATGCACATCTACAGCTGATTAACTTCTGGGGTCCAATTCTACATAGCTCCCTCTGCTAATTAACATTAGCAAACACAATAACTGCCATAACTCAGTGTTATTTTTTAATTTTTTAAACTAAAATTAGGATATAATTCGGTGTAGTAGTAGCTGAAAATTTTGTTCAACATCTTACTTTTAAACTTAGAAATCATAGGTGGATGGAATCCCTTCAAGAAGTGCAATTTTCTAAACTTATTGTTCAAATATTTTCCCCAAAATTCACACAATGTGCATACACACAGGAAAAAAAGGGTGACAGACATTCAGGTCTTTCTAAATATATGTTTATGTCATCCCTTATTTTGATAATTATGCAGTGATGGCTCAAATCATAAAGTACCAGCTTTACAATAAACTGTTCCTATGCTACCTAAATGAAGCATTGTGCTGAACTAAACTATTTTGATGCTATTCTGAACAAAGGGAAATTCTCAACACATAAGCAGTGATGCTTTAAGTTAATTTGATCAAGGACTCTTTCCTAATTCATCTTTCTTTTTGTAAATAACTGTGCCCATTTACCACAAGGTCTGCTGCATATATCTATGTACTGTACATATATCCTACATATTATTGGAACAGAAGGTGCAGGGTTTGTTTCTGCTGATTTTGCTCATCAGGGATATTGTTGCTTCATGTTTTGTTGTTTTTTAGATCAATGTAGAGAATGCACTGCAAAAATAAGCCATCTAAAAATAAGTTTAAAAATATACTAAGTATGAATTATTGTTTGGGCAGGGATGGTGCGATTGCATCACTTTTGGAGCGTGCACTTTTGTGCCGTGTTCAACGCCTCAACTATAAACCAGGCTATAGGAGTTATTTTGTACTCATCTAGAAATATATTCTGATAGTTGGGAAACAGGTTGGTGTATTTCCACCACTATGTATTGTTAGCATCCTACAGGTGCCGGTCAAAAACCACTTATCAAAGTGACAAATGTGCGAACTATTCAAATTTGCATTGTCTAGGTTATAATTTATTGTATGACATTGCATCCTACTCCTAATGTTTAGTGTATTACAGTCCATATAAATTAGGCATAGATTTAATATTTAAACATCTATTTTAGTAAATATGAGTTTTCATGAATTACACACAAAATGCATTTAATATACATTATGCAATATGAATGCAAATGTAGAGACATTCAAGCAAAATACTTAAGACTTTAAATCATTAATATCCTGCTGTTCATACACATTGCGTACAGTCTGATTTATTTCATGCAATGTTAGTTCTTTTCTAAAATAAACTATGCATTTTTTTACTTCCCCTCAAACACAAAAAAAAATCAGCAGTTTAAAGCACAATACTGTATATGTTAAATATTCACCTTTTATTCTTCGATGTATTTTACTGATTTCAAATATGTTTATCAGATGAAGAAATGTAACAGGTAGCACTTTAACTTCTGGCTGTTTTCTGATGTTTGGTGTGAGCAGGTCAGCGG